TGATAGATGTTTCCCCGACCTTTGACCCCATGGAAATTCATTCTATACCTTTCTAAAAATGAAATTTGTATTCAATTGCTATGAATACTCTTATAATTTTACCCAAACATATTTAATTTCTTTTCAGTTCTGTAAACATCCGCGTCGTGTTGTGAATATATTACATTTTTGCGAATTTATAGGTGAGTTCCGGTTGTTACGATTTTTCCAGCTCATCACTGATTATCAGGTTCCAGATTTCACAAAATGTAGAATTGTTAAAGTTTGTTTCGGGGCAGAAACCATGAAACGCAGGATACACAAGCTTTGGTTACCAACTTTCAGCTGTCTCGGCATATAAAACAGTCAGAAAGCTTGAGGCTACCGCGAACAAGCGCTAGGTGCAAAAATGCTATATCCGTTACCAACTACGCACGTGGTTGGCGTTTAGGTATATTTAATTGAGTTAAGTTGTTAGTTGAGATCGAGCTTGTCAAATATTGCTATCGCATGTTTTGCGTGATACATCCATTTTTATGAAAGTTTCAGATGAATCTGATTTTACCTGGTTGGGCATGCCTAAATAAGAAGACTTCAGTGGTCGATTTTTTTGTTTTGATGCACTTTTATTCAAATTAACAATTGTACATTCGCAGGGGGGCTAAACGGTATTTATAAATAAATACGAAATAAGAATATACCGTAGAATTTCATCCCGGTTGATAGGAAAAGGCAAGCGATAGTTATAATTCAGTTAGATTTTTCCATGTTTAGAACCCACCGCCGAGTGTGCCAGCCCTGGCTACAATTTTATATTTGTTATTTTTGCTTATGATTTTTGTTTCTATATTCCTTGGGGGGCTGGCTCAGTTAGGTAAGCCGTACTCTTTTTTTATATTGACTTGTTATTCTTCACATGGTCAATTTAATTTTTTGTTCAGGGTAAACTCTTATTTGTATTTATTTATAAATACCGTTTAGCCCTCCTGCGCGGGGGAGGCCAGGGTTACAGGCGAATGTACAATTGTTAATTTAAATTAAAAGTGCATCAAAACAAATAAATCGACCACTGAAGTCTTCTCTTTCAGGCACGCCCAACCAGGTGAAATCAGATTCATCTAAAACTTTCATAAAAATGGATGTATCACGCAAAACATGCGATAGCAATATTTGACAAGCTCGATTTCGACTAACAACTCAATTACATATACCTAAACGCCAACCACGTGCGTAGTTGGTAACGGATACATAGCATTTTTGCACCTAGCGCTAGTTCGCGGTAGCCTCAAGCTTTCTGACTATTTTATATGCCGAGACAGCTGAAAGTTGGTAACCAAAGCTCGTGTATCCTGTGTTTCATAGTTTCTGCCCCGAAACAAACTTTAACAATTCTACATTTTGTGAAATCCGGAACCTGATAATCAATGATGAGCTGGAAAAATTGTAAGAACCGGAACGCACCTTAATCGCAAAAATGCAATATATATATTCACAACACGCGCGGACGTTTACAGAACTGCAAATAAATTAGGGGAAGGTGGGGCACGTTGGGACATGGGACACAGTGGAAAATCAGCTCTCACACTAATACTATATTCGGAATCCGGTCCGCGGTTCGATTTTTCAATTGGCCCTTCGATGAGTTACAACGTCCCCGCAAACGGACAGCGGACGGGTAGAGCGACGCAAGCTATGAGGTGAAATTGGTTTTGGGGGGTTGAAACTAAAATTTTACCGTTCCAGTTTTTTTTTTTTTCTAACTTAGCCTTTTCAACGTGACAAACCACCGTCTGATATCTTTCAGCTATAGTTCACTGAGAAATATTTATAACGTTGGCGAGTGGATGTGCCTTTCGAATTTCTTTGTGGGATGATCTGAAGATATTTGTTTATTATTGGGAACAATGGACGGGGTTCAGTGGGACATGCCCTACATGGCACAATTCGACAGTGTTTGATACAACAAGTGCTTAGAGACCTAGAGATGCGTTATATTGTTATGTAACATTATGGTATCTTTCGACTCATGGTACAATATGAAATATATTCGAGAATCAAAAATATTTCCAGATTTAGATTCGGATTAGGAAATAATTTAATTTGTATGCGAATTTTTTGGTGAAATATCTGAAATATTTCGGTTGAAAATTGATTTTAAAAATCTTAAATCTTCAAATTTGAGGTCTCCCTGTTCTTTAGACGGTTATGCTGAAAAATTGCTTATTTTTAAGGGCATACTTCGTTGAATTTTGACAGAATGACCCATTGTGCCCCAGGGTCTGTCCGAATGTGCCCCGCAAGTGACAAAAGACAAACGTTTTTCAAAGCATTTTGGTGGTAAGATGTGTGTCGCAAGGGAATTTTTTAGTCGCTGAATAAAAACTACATTTACCCCTCTCTGCATTAATCCCGCAAAGTTATATGAATGTGCAGAATAAAGGGCTCAAAATATGCAAAAGAAAAAAAAAGTGTCCCGACCTTCCCCTACATGAAATATAATTGTGTAAAATTATAAGAGTATTCATAGCAATTAAATACAAATCTTATTGTTAGAAAGGTATAGAATGAAAATCTTATTGTTAGAAAGGTATAGAATGAATTTCCATGGCGTCAAAGGTCGGGGAAACATCTATAACACGTTACTGCTGTACTAATAATTATTCGTGTGATGTGACGTAAAAAGACTTAATATGACGTAACAAAACATAAATTAATAACTAAGTTTACCAGAGAAACTAGACTTTTTGTACCACAATTTTATTTCAACAAAAGGAACGCAAATGCAGTAAAATATCCAACAACCGGAACGCCGTTCCGGTGCGTTCCGGCTACACCTCACCACTGCTGATAATCAATCAGCGGTTTACTGAAGAATCATACCTGTGTAACGGAGAATGAAGCCATCCTCTTGCCACAATTGTGTAACCATGCATCTGAAGCTAACAACTGACAAAGTACTCCAATACCCAGAATGAACTGGTAAGCGTAGGAGTCGCGGGAACAACAGCATAAAGCAGTCTTGACTTTCCTCTTCAGGGAAAAAAAAGGAAATCGCGCTGTGCATTGGGAATACGCTCGTCACTGCGCCTTTGAGAACCATGTGTGGGTTCGCCGTTTCGAATCCCATGCGGTGACGCGGGGTTAATTATGTGCGAGAGGACTCCTGGCCGCCGTAGGGTGGTTCACGCAAGCATTCGTCGGTTACGGCTTACTCCACCCTCAAGCCCATGCATTTGAAAACAAATAACTGGCTAACTAATCCCATACCCTGCATAGACTAGTAATCGGACGAGAGGACGTGGTTCGCTATATGATTAAGCCGTCTCATCGATTTTCCCTCTCCCGGGATAAATATGTAAATCCCATCCTACCAGTCGATTGGAATAATGCGCACATTCAAGCAACGTCGAAAATTGTATATATCGAGACAGAAAGTTTGAATGATGATTGTTTTATTGATTTCACACTATTCAAGCTCATTAGACAGTGCCGATTGATAAATTGTGAACAACAAATCAACTAGGAAACTAATCTCAACTACGAACTACTTTGAACATGAGTTTAATAGAATATAGCTGAAAATGCGGCATTGGCTATCACTGAAAAAATTGTCCAAACTGAAAGTGAGATCGAAAAAGGGCCAATCACATAGAGCAGCACCATCCTCATTTTATTTTATAAAAGCTTATACTGAGAGTGATTTAATTTTCGTTGTAAAATTTATCGTCCACGGCAATAGCCAATATCACATCACCACACACAGTAGCATTTATGATTATGCAAGTAGAATTAAAAGAATACTTATTAGGTAAACATTGCGCTAAATTAAATTGAACATATCCCAAATTATCTATGGCAGACGTCATGGCGAGCAAATAAGAAATTTTAACGGTAAGATAAGTAAATATTGAAAGGTATGTAACTCCCTATTATAAGCTATTCCAAGTTGAATTTTTTTGATATCTGAGAACAAATACAATTATTTTGTCACTCCACTTAAAGGTATTTTCTTATTACATCGAATATCATGTGAAATTTCAGTATTTTAAAAGTATATGTCAGAGCTTTATTCTTCAAACGTCAAACTACGTTGAAGTAATTGTAATAACACAGAGACTACCGGTAATACCTAGTGGATGAATATTAGCAGACCATTAGCATTTCAAAATAGGACTTAACATCAGTCCAAATTAACCAATAATGAAATATGCCAGTCCAAAACAGGGAATTTGCAAGACTCGGTCATGTAAATGGAAGCCCAAGACACAGTTTATATAATTAAAAAAAAAGATAATTGCTTGTTGAGGTGACAATCAAGAATAAATTAAAGGTAGCAAGAATCACAGGAAAAATGAAGAACTTTGGGATGTACGGGATAAGGGAGGTCGAATTTAGAATGGAGTTCAGGTTGATATTCTAAAATAGGGATTTCGAGTATTTTAGGTATCATTGTATTTTACACAAGCAAATTTGTTCGAAATCGTACTTTTTTGCAAAAACTACACACTTTCAGAAAAATAAAAACTCTTTGTGTATCCTAAATTTCAAATTTTAATCTGATTATTTTCGGATGTATTTAAACCTAAAGCTACTTGTAAAAAACACAATTTGGATGTGAATTTCTTATACATAATCAGACTAACATGTACAACCCTATATAAAAATGGAAAGCAAAAGCGAAAACAACTACAAAAAAGATGCATTTAAAAGCATTGCTATTGGTCAATTATCAATATACAATAATATGTGGAACATAACAACTAAAAAAGGGAACATTTGTGTTCATCAAATTAATAATACGGTATCTAAAAAAATTATGAAAATATCACAGTACTCTACAAACAGTACATGGAATTGCAACTTGAATTACAAAAATAATTAGAATTTATCTATAAATCATGGATTTGAAATAGTAAGTGATTGATTGAAGTATATAATTATATATTTTGTGATTATTAGCAGAATAAAAAAAATATGCTTTGATTGGATCGTGAAAATTTGAAAAAAAAAGTACTTGGCAATAAGGATAAGCCACAAATAAGACAAAAAATCCAAATTGATGGTTATCTTTTAGTGTTGTGAGAATAATCGGCCACACTTAGATGTTACATCAATTTCAAAAAAGCATTTTAGCGCCATATCATAAAAGCAGTTACAAGATTGATATACTGAAAGCATCAATGGATTAGAAAAAAAATGACAAAAAATATTATGAATTGAATACCAGAGTAAAATTGAAAGCATCTATAGGATTAAACACTTGCTATCATTGTTGCTCTTTAGTGCTTTGATAGTGTTTAACAACACCGACATAAATTCAAACATACAGAAAACCAACACCAATAAAGTTAAGACGAATCAAAAGAATTGAGGTTGTAATTCCAGCAGAATGGAAGTTAATCAAAAATAGTTTAATTAAAAAAAATCAGTTTACAGAAATATGATATGACAGCATGTATTTTTTGTTTTAACAAATGTGAAACAAAACATCGGTGAATTGTATATGATAATCGATTTTTTCTAACTTTACTATAAAAAATGGATTTAAGCCTTGTATTGAACTTATCAACATGGTCCACTATTTCAAAAAGCGAAATAAACAAGTTTCATTGTAAGTGAAGTTTCCAATAATTTTCGATTCATCAGTTAATAAATATTACAGTTAGTACTACTCAGTTGAACAATACTGTTGTCGTTAATAAGAATAAAAATCTGAGTGGACGAAAAACTAGAAAAAAATAAATTCTAACAAAGGCTTTCGAGAGTTTGAGTCAAAAGTTTTAACCTGCCAGAAGAACAATATTCTAATGTAAAGCGTTCTTAGTTGAAATTATGTCCATCCTTTCCATCACGAAAAACGGAATTAATTCAAATTTACTTTGGGGCCAGTGGATATTTTGTAAATCAATAGATGTGAGTGGAATTGACTTTTTCTATCAATCTAAAGAGACGTATGTTTCACTTTATTTTTCCATTGTTACATTATAAAAAATGTGGTTCCGTCATGATTAGAATCAATTTTTTTCACTCAAATCCACACATATGATAAATATTTTCAAAGATAGGCACTGGAGCTAAATACCATTCAAGACAAAGCAGGAAAAACGGTCCCTCAAGAAGCAATAGATATCATTCAAAATTTTGCATTACATAAAAACATAATTTATTTTTGTAATGAAACACGTAAACTTTGACATAAGGCGAGGAATCAAAAGCTTATATATCGACAAAACAAAAAGCTGGCAACCTATTCAAACTACTATTTAATTGCTGAAAAACAGATGCAAGACAGTAATGCACCTCACAACACAATGGTATGATTAATTACAGTGAGCATTTAAATGTACAAAATAAAGTAAAAAAAGTTTTTTAAAAGTTCCAAAACAACAATGGAGGACTCTGTGAGAAGACTTAGAAGTAATCTGCACCACCACCTTGTCCGTTAGCATTTTTCTGTAAAGAGAAATATTATTATTTCAAGTATTGAATTCATTTAGATCAGGGGTGTGCAACCAGCGGACAAGGAAAAATTGTGCGGTCCACAGAGATGTGCCAATTACGTTACAATGCCCTAACAGCTAGCTTGTGCGAATTCGCAAACAACACATATCATAAGATCAAGAACCAAAATTTTTGTGTGGCAACTACTAGAAAGCCTATGTCAAACAAGATGGCGGCTCCCGATTTCATCTAGTAGTTATTTGTATCTGGCCCTCCTGTATTAATGAAGGTTGCACACCCCTGATATAGATGTTTGATGATCATTGCCCACCATTTATGTATTTTTGACTGCAGTTTCACATTAGCAACTTTTGTTCAGTTTGCGAAATTTGTAACCACTTGGCCACAAAGACGACAAAGTCAGATAACATATTATATTGTTGTTGATCTTCAATCAGATTTTTTGTTCGAATTCGTTAGATTTACTCTGCCCATATAATATTGGACGCTCCCATAGTATGTGAACCAAGATGGCGGACACCTGAACATAGTATGTGTACCAGGTTAGGGTTAGACCATAATTTTATTCCAATTTTCTATATTTTAGTTCTATTACGAGTTCTGTGACAAGCCAAGTGACTCCGGTAGTATTTGTACCTAGAATTATGGCCTAACCCTAACCTGCTACACATACAACATTTCGGTTTCCGCCATCTTGGTGCACATACTTCTGGAGTACTACCTAATATTGTTATGTCATCAGAGATAACCAATAATATCAGAAATATATAATATCAAATTGATTTGAGATTCATTTTACCATACATGCATTGTAGATTATTCAAATAGAGCAAAAGTTAGAGGATTCCATTTTATATCATTCGTTAGTTTGACTATTACACATGACACAACACAAACTATACGTCATAATGTCACTAGGTATAATTAATATTGCGTATGTATTCTATAAAATGGATCAAGGTGATTCTAGGGGATTATTGCCAACCATGACAATCAGCCTTTATTTTGTTTAATAACTGAAAAAATAGTAAATTATTAATGTGTTCAAAAAAACTAAGTTGTCATTATCTATATCCTTAGGATCTGATAGGTGATCATGATTCGCAAAATTTATACATTTTTACATTGGTAATGTCACGTTTCTATTTTCGGCATATGGCCTTTAAGTCAGAAAATACCAATGAAAAATATTTTGAACTTGAAATTATCGCTCAAACAAAGTTGACTACACAATATTATAGTGACGCAACACAAATATATTTTGCAGCTCAAAGATCGCTCATTTTATGACAATGCACGTCACAGACCTGCCTTCAACAAATACACAACACAGTCGTACATACCGGACTCACTTCGTCATAAGCATGACTGTAGGCGTTATTGGTATGAGACTGCCTCTGTTAAATAACAAATGTTTGCATTAGCTATAAAAGGGCACACCCAAACCAAACTTTTAATAAAAAAGGAGATAAAAGCATTGCGTGCAATGGAATTCAAGGATATAAATAGCCCCTTACTGTATAATGGTTTAATATCCTATATTTACCCTTGATCAAGTTTGGCCAGGCCATAAATAGTCAATATTCTGATTTTCAAAATGAAATATTTTTCTGAGAATGGAATGTAATTTGAAAATAAAAGAATCCTAAAAATATTATGAAAAGTCTAGCAAGCGAGATGGAATGTACCCACTAACCAATCAAAAATGTTGCAATAAACAAATTCGAAATTGAAAAAAAAAAGTTAGGAGTTGTTCAATTTAGCAACCAAACATTCAACAATGACATGCTAGTATCATAAAAATTCAATGGTCCAGAAACTTTCACAAATTTTTCACAATTATAAATTTATACATTGCTCTTATTATTAAGTGATTACTTGCGTTTTGGATGTGCAAGCCAATGAGTAATTTTACCATTTCATATATTCATAAGACAATCATATTTCAAAATATTTATATATCCATAATAAAGTACTAATGAAAAAGATAAAAATGAAATAGCATAAAAGAGTCACTAACAGTGTTTCATTTAAATACCATTAAAAAGTATCCAGCAGTTTTCAAGAACATTTTCTATCAAAATCATTTTTGATGAAAACCTCATTAGCAAAAGTCTTTTTCGAAAAAGATTTCAAATAAATAGCATCTGCGTCATAGTGTGTTTACATACATTTTCATAAAGTCAATTCCATTGTAAATAATAATAACCTCCTAGGGAGGCCAATTAAGGGATTTCCATTCCACAACTGGACAAGTAAAGATAAATGATAAAAAATGACTCAATACATGACCATGCTTGAAAAAAATATAAGCTAACTTGATGGTACTCAAAACGAAAAACAATGTATATTTGAAATAATAGAAAAAAAAGTAAGAGCGTGTTGAAGAGCACGAGTACCCTCTCTGATGTCATAATTCAGATAACGTTATCGACGCATTCAAATACACATTGATGCTGAGTATTAAGTATTTGAAAAAATGCAAATAAGGTTGAGTGTGTTACGTAATTATTAAGATATATTTCTCCACAATATGCCAAGAAGTATTTGTTTGCAAAAGGTGTTTGACACGGAGGACGCTAATTAAATATACAAAGTCATTGTAAATATTAACCAAGAAGTTAGAAATTGTTTTGACATACTGTATTATAGCAGTTCTATGCCGCTAATTTCATAAGTGCTAACAATTCTAGTTGCTTTAAATTTTGAAAAAAAAAAACTTAATAAAAGAAGAATAAAACTGACAGAAAAAAAGTCTTACCCCTCCATTTGTTTCTCCCATATCGAATGTATCTGAAACACTGTACATATTCGCTGGTACTTTAGCTCGAACCAATCCAGGCTGGAAGTCAACGAAAGGATTCTGAAAAAAAAAGATATCATAATATCTTCTGATAAACTTTAGGTGGATCAAATTTCCCAGCACAATTAGGCCAACACTCTTAAATTGAAAAATATTGGCATTTTTTCGTGTAGATCGGATTTGCGAATCGCCCTGAGGCAAAGTTGGAATTTCATAATTTTTGTTGGATTCTCAAAATTTTCTAAACAACTCAAAAATTGAAATGAAAATAAGTTGACTACGCATTTTTGACAGTCAAAAGTTTACATATCGTATTTGCTCGTTTTGTAGCCCGGGCTCATATTTTTTTAACCAAACTCACTAACCGGGCCCTTATTTAAACCCGCCCTTATTCAAACACGGGCGCTTGTTGTTTCACATATGGATAAGATCGATCGTTACAATAATTAATATATTGTCATTTCCAGTTCTCAAATACGATTTAAACGAGAATAACGAAAATTTTGACTTTTTCTACGCACCGCAGGTACAAATCCGCAAAAGAAAAAAAGTTTTGCGACGCCCCATCAATATTGAAACGACGCACTTGGGAGTCGCGACGCCCAGTTTGAGAACCACGGTGTTACGTAATCAATGGTATCTGTTATGTAATTGGACACCTGAGGCATGAGTGTTATCTACAAGCGCTCAAAATTCAACAGCGCTGTGACAAAAGTGCTTCTTATTTCCTATTGTTTTCTACCACTGAAAAATCAGCTTTTACATCGGGCGGGTATTCAAGCACCAGCCCTTATTTATTTTTATGTTCTGTTCACTATTCAAACGGGCCCCTAATCAAGATCTGGCGGTAAAACGAGCATATACGATATGCCTAATCCTGTTTATCAAAATTTGATTTCCTTGGATGTTTGAAGCCCGGGGTTGAAATTTTCATCAACCTCAGGTTGGGCGCCAGAGGTAAAGTTTGCTATGTTTGTTTTGAGATTCTGAATGATTAATTGAGAAGATGGTTGAATATTTTAATATCCTAGAAGAGGTTCTCAAATAAAAACATTAATTAATTTCAGCAAAGCGAAACTGTCTGCACCACAGACTATATTCACTGTCAATACAAATACAAACTAGGATATTTGGTTAATACAGACAGATAAATTTGACATATCTCCCAATTCGAACAGTCATTGGTAATCCAAACACAAAATGGCTTAGTGAAAATGTTATTTTTCACAGTGAAATAGTATAACATGTTTGGCTGGTACCTCAGCTCATATTCCACATTATTCATTTACTGCAAATCTAACATTATGAAGCATGAAGTACAAGCACTGAGTGAGTAGTTTAAAAAACTAACGTTGACAGCATTGCCTCATTGTTTTCAGACAGTGGACACAAAATCTATTTTCTTCCTGCAATAATTCTTAATGCAGTTGTTCCCAAACTAAAATCATTTTGTGTCCATCACGAAACATCAATCCATGGACTAAAAAATTATTCGTCATCTGCCCACAAAACTGACCAATTTTTTCAATTAATGCTTGAAATAAGGTACGACTGGCTAAAAGAAGTCAAATTTCATTCACGCTTTGTTCATGATTTGTATTACAAATAGTATGAAAGTAGATGCGTTGCTGGGTTTTTAGAAAGTTTGGGTGCCTCTTTATTAATGTATTATTACAAGACATAAAAAAGCAAACTATGCCTATTCGTCTAGACTTTTGTCTTTGAAAGCAAAAACGTGACAATGACCATAAACAATATATAAATTCGACTTGTGGGATATAACAAAAATCTCTAAACTTACCAAAACGAGAAAAATCAGGATTCGTAAGAGAAAAACTAAGTAGACCTAAAGGACCGTTATTAGTAACCCTGGGTCAATTGTTTGCTGCATGACATATTATGCGAACAATTGAAACCGACTAAATAGATGGTTAAATGTTTTATGAGTGAGATACTTTTATAGCAACTTTATATGACAGTGACGTATTATTTGATGAACTATGATTCGCTTAACCATCCCTACATGACAAAGACGCATAGCCTGTGTGTCAGGAATGAATGACACACAACACAACAAACATAATATCTATGAGGCATCATAATTCAAACTGGGTGTGGTAATTTCCTTTACATTGTGCATACAAATTTAAATTTTCGTAATTTTTTTGTAAATACAGATACTGTGTAAAGATGGAATCCGAAATTGTAAAACATTTGAAATCATGTAATAAAATTTAAATCTTAATTAAATTTCTCAAATTACTGATTTTAGTACATATTGTATAGGCAAATATCCGATATATATCAATTGCGTGATCAAAGGTTGAATGACTATGACAAAACAAGAAGTAAATTATTAACTTGTTAAACATTGAGTTATTTATATTTCATATATATATATAGGAAAGAATACTTCGGTTTCGTACACATTCCATTTGACCATGCATTCTGACATTTTGACAGTCCCTAGCTAAAATGAAATAACACTTGAGCCATAGTTGAAAAATTATGAACAAATCAAATTAACAGATTTTCAAATTCGATTTGAAAGACCAATAACACTTCTGTAATAGGACATGATTTTTATATTTATCCCTGGGTAGAGAGTAGACATGTTGATTATAGATTTGCCAATAGTGATTTCAATTTACAAATATGGTAAATGAATGATAAATCGATGTAAATTCTGTTTTCATCATTTCTAGTGATCTGTTTAAGAATAAATTGGTTAGTTTTGCTACACTAAGTATTATCATAAAGAGCTGTAGGAATACAACAAAATCAGAATGATATCCGGAGAATTTGGGTTTCGATTTGAATGTTGATGAATTTTATTAACTTTAAGATAGTTGCTTTAGCCTGGAGGTAGACCAACAAATACTATATGTGTTGTCAGTGTTGATGACTATTGTAATTCAGTCAAGAGTATTTTATTTTCCTACTCCTTGCCTGCTGTCATTAAATTATAATCAGGATGATGTAATTTTGAACTGAAATTGCGACATAAAAAGGTGGGTACCAGTTTAGGGTTAGACCATAATTTTATTCCGATTTTCCATATTTTAGTTCTACTACAAGTTCGGGGACTATCTTTGTTAGCCAAGTGAATTAATACTCCCATAGATTTCAGTCCTTTACACACTTGATGTGAAGTAGGCGAACAAAATTAGTTAACCTCCATATTGGTACACACACTTCTGGTGTGCCAAAAGGTGTATTGTATGAGAAAAATACAATAGTCAACATTGTTAGCATATAATGTAAAATTTTAAAACTGTGTACTGCGAATAAAAAAAAAAAAAATTACCTTCAAATTCATGTCATCATGCATTTCTCCCTTCTTATTTTTAGATTTGGATTTCGTTGAGTTGCATATACAGACAGTCACTACTATAATCAAGATTAGGCCCAGTGCAGAAGTTGATACAGTGAATACAAACATCCAAGCTATGATGCAAATACAAGAGAGTAAATGAAACTTGTAAAGGTAAATTTTCTGACATTAGTGAACCGTTATCATGATAATATTCTATATACTTTTTATTTTTATCACAACTCCTCAAATTGTACGGGTTGTTTAAGTAATTTGACTTAAAATAATTTGAAATTTGAAAATATTATCAAATGTATCGGAAACAAAAAATTGTAAACTATACCCATGCCTGGTCTAAATTAGTAATACTATGTTAAAATTGCCTATTTTAAAATATTTTGACCGAAAAAATATTGAAGATCTCACTCAATATACCAGTACATTTTTGTTATGTTCAAGATAAGAAAAATAAAATAAACTTCCAATAGATATAAAAAATACCATTATATGTTAGTTTTTACTTATTTAAAATATTCAATTTTACTGGTGTAGGTTTCGGTGCAATTTCGAAGATACTTATTACTTGTAAAAAACCACAAAACCTCAGAGATAAAAAAAATTCTGGAATAAATTCAAAATTACGCATGCATATATAATCTAGAGTAGGGCTACTCAACTGACGGGCCGCGGTCCGAATCCGTACCTTTTAAGTATTCAATTCGGACCGCGTCTGATTTTATTTTCATTTTGGAGGATTGTCTCAATTTAACTTTGCATATGTAAAAGGATGTGGAATATTTTGCGGTTACTCAGTTTTCCACAATTTGCGTTTCCTTATCTTTTTAACCAAAATAGAGTCACTAAAATATAGTTAGGCGCAGTATGAAACACATTTTCTGGCAAGACCAGACCCCAGGAATTTTCAATTTTTTTTATACAGACAGACCTTGAGCAAATATAGTTGAGTAGCCCTGATCTAGAGAATTCTCAATCTGAGAAAAAATCAAAAGGTAACATCTGAAAAATCGGTAAAATTAATATTTGATGTTCAGACCACCAAAACAGGCTTATTTGATTTCATTTCTGATAGAGATAACAAAATATCATCCAATAAAAAAAAACTTATCCAACTTATTGTGTACACAGAATATCACTCTTTGTGAATACACCATAATTTATTGAATTGGATTTTGTGAACCTAATCAATTAAGTGTATTCAAAAATATTAATTCATAATACTTCAAGAGTAATGAATTATTTAACATTGGCAAACCTGTGGGATCTCTAGTTTAATTCATCAATAATAGTCAAATGACAAAAGAACATTGTATTCATCCTAATCACTTTGTTTATTAAATTCATAAATCTTCACTTACGATCTGAACAATCACTGCCTGCAAATCCCCACATACACGAACAATAATGTTGAAGGACGTCAGCGCTGTTGTCTGTTCCATTTTTACATGTACCAAAAGGGTCGTTGCAATCACTAGAACTCATACAAGGTATTTCTGAATAATAATAAAAACTAATAGGGCAATTTCGTTAGGATAGATGAAGACAGATAATATGCCAATGATCAGTATTGTCCTATCACTAAGGTGAAGTTTTATTAGGGAAAAAGATTCGGCGCTTCAAAAGTGTGTCTAACAATATGGATCTAATTAATTTTGTTCGCCTATTTTGCATCTAGTTGCGCAAATGGACTGAAACCTATGAGTAGGGAGGGGGTATATTACCGTGGCTAACACAGAAATTCCACGACTTGTAATAGAACTAAAATAAGGAAAATCTGTATAAAATTATGGCCTAACCCTAACCTGGTACACACACTACGGGAGCCCCTAACCAAACATTCTGCTAACTGAAAAATACTAAAAGTAATATCCTTCTAGTGACTTCTTCCACTTTCAAGCACAGGAATTTTATCAATTTTTCCATTAGTTGCAAATATAAAAGATTATTTTACAACACTAACAACAACTTATTATACCACTGGTCAGTTCATTTCCAACAAAAAATAATGTAAACATTACATAAATCAACTTACTGAAGCATTCTTGAGCCGTCGGGGTCACTTTAGCAAAAGTATCATCCTTACATCTACAGTAGTATCGACCATTGGTATCCTCACAGTTAGTGGTACTCAAATCACAATATCCTGCACTTTTACATGCCTGTCCTGGAACTGAGAAATATATATACCTATATAAAATCGGGTTTATTCAATTTTATGATATGCTATGATATTGAAAGTGATTATGTCCAAAGAATTTAGTTCGTCTCAATTTGAGCTTGTAAATTAATGCCAAAACGAAGTTTTTTAACAATAAAATTTACTCTCAGATTGTTGGACGACCACTGAGGTGCAAGAGCTATGAAACTCTATAGAAATATGATGGTGCATAATGCATCAGGAAAACAGGTTCGGAGATTTAGTAATATTAACGTTTTTTTTTATTTTTCAGGAAAATTGATATTTGAAGAAAACGATAAAAACAAATAAATGCCTTTATAACATACTAATCACAGTATTCAATGATCCTGTACAGTTTATAGCATAGTCTGTATTGTTGACGGTATTTCCAGCTGAACACTGTGAACAACATAAAACTAATTAGTATGACTACAAGCTGGAATATACTTTGTACTCATTCATTGGGTTTTTGTTAAGTGAGAGATAGACGAGGAGCCGGCCTTTTTCAGAAGGAAAAACAAGAAAAATTTTAGTAGTATGGTATTTAATAACCTTAAAAAACAAGTAACTTTAATATAATCTTTGAAATTTGGGATTATGAATGTCCACGACCTTTAGAACTCAAAGTGTACCTTGATTAGAATAACGATAACAATACCATAGGAGCTTTAGGAGGTATAATTGCCTGGAAAAAGTTTAATGTCTTGCGCTACTTAATTTACAAATAATGCTTTGATCAGTGGTTAAATAGACCTTCTTAAAAACATATGAGTATTCCAACACGTAGTTAAATTTAAAGCAAAATTTTGCATACACATTCAACTTTAGAACAGAAACCTCAGCTAATATTAATAACTTTCTCAATTACCATTACATTAATGTGAACACCCTATAAATGTAATAAAATAACAGCTAAACTCACATTCGTTTGGCTCTCGAAGGATTTTTGAACAGTTTCATCAGTGACTCTTTCATCATCTTTATAAATTAAGTCATATGTTGCAATAATACTGCCCTCCCGAACATTTGAAACAACAGATTTTACAAATGATTCCGATTCATTATATATGCCATTAAGCTATAGCAGAAAAAAAAAACTTTATAAACTTTGAGAAAATAAAATTTCAATAATAAAACCGTTGGCATATGCAAGCCGTTTTCAATAAACTGTTAATTAAGAATGATTAGTGAACTTAATAATGTCTAAATGAGTGTATTAATTGATAATTTTGATTTTTTCATCGCCATCGACAGGAATTCAGAATTTGACTCAGACCGAGTGTCGACCCCGAAAAGTTTATAAATACAACTCCGACTCTGACTCAAGTGAAAACATGCCAAACTCTGACAGTCCTGCTTGTTAAACCATTCCAAAAAATCCATAGGCCTACCAATAATCGAAAATGTTACAAAGTATTTCATCAAGTCAAATTGATATTGCAGTGTATAATACTGTATATTAACTCATTGATTAGATTGAAAGAAAAAATTAGAATGAATAATCAAACAAATACATACAATCTCTTCAACATCCTTCTTTGTTTGTTCTTGGTCTGTTTCGTCAAAATCATTCTCAAACGTTATCTCCCCACCAAATGTTTTTCCTGTGCAGAAAATTACAGAGGAAACATGAATGAAGAAGAAGTTATAAAAGTTGTGATCATTTACAGATTTTAAATGAGCATGGTTCGATTAGTTGACAAAACTCTCACTATATAACAATTTATGGAATTACAAGTGGGGCTATATACATTGTAAATAATTGTATAAACTCCAAAGCAGAGGTGTGCAACTTATAATACAGGAGGGCCAGATACAAATAACTGGGTGAAACCGCAGCCCCCCCCCCCCCTATTTAATAACATAGGCTTACTAGTATTGCAGGGAAAAAATTTTGGGCATTCTCACGTCATAAACATATATAATTATTGGACTCAGGTGTAACCTTCGCAACACAAAAGGATTGGAATTATTTGCACATTAAAGCCAAATTAAACTAAATTAAAAACTCGTTTCGCGGGCCACAGACAATTCAAAATTGGCATTTCTCCGCGGATTACACATTTTTCCTTGTGGGCCGCATTTGGGCTGCAGGTTACACACCCCTGTTCTAAAACATCACTTTCAAATGTAGAAGATGGATATGTTCTGAGATGGGTTATTTTCAACAGCAGGATTGGAATATATTCAACATTTATATTAAATGAATTTGAATTTGAAAATGCAGGATATAGGAATATACATTGATTTGATTGTTTCTCTGTCCTTACAGTTTTTAGAAGTTTATATCTTTTTGGTCATACAGTAAGATTCAATTGCTCTGGGTTAGGTAATTTTTATAAAACTGATAATTCAAAAGTGTTCCATAAAATAGTTGAAGTATCAAACATAAATAATTTCGAAAGGGATTTTGAGCAAACAAATTTGCAGTTCATATTCACAAATCACAATGAATAAAATGGACATTCTACCTTGAAGACAATCTCCTTCTTCGTTTTCATAATATGCAGGTGGACAACCAACACATTCGTATCCCATGTTATTCTCACTAGGTTGACATTCAACTCCTTCATAGCACCAGGCATAGGCCGGATTGCATGGATCTGTTAAAATTTAGCAACCAGTGAAATATCTTGGCCCTTCTAACATAGTTTAATTTGAAAAAAGGCAAAAAATTACCAATCAAACTAAATAGAAACAAAGTTGTTAATATTTGAATGATAGAAAAGTCCCATCAATAACATAATATAACTTTTTTGAATACAATCTGACAAAAATTAAAATTCCAAAATTGAAGGGCTATTTAACGATGCAATATAGTAGTAACATTAGTGTAACTACCAAGTTCTGGAAAAATGAAGTCAAGACTTAATTATCTCAGAAGATGCTGAGGCCCAGTATATAGTATACAAGACATAATTATGTGAACAATGCAAAACTTATATACTGCTACTTTCCAGAATTAGTTTATGCCTATAACCAGGGCTTCCTGAATGCCCCTGTTTTAAAGATATGTCTCACAAAATAAATTTGTATGTAGTATTAAACTGTAACATATTTTGTTTCATTTTCATTAGCAAGACAAGCACAACTCAACTTAAATATTAAAAAAGTACACGAAATACATGTGATTGCCCAGATCAGCTATGTAAACTGAAACACTAAAAATACTTAGAACTGTAATTAGCATTTAATGTGGACTTAAGTTATATGAGTCATCTGAAACTGTTGAATACAACGAAAAATTGCTGCAGCAATACTTGGGAGAAACTTGTTTTCAATACTATACTGATTTTTAGTTATGGACGGAATCCCTATAGCAGTATATAACAGAAAATTTGGCGCTCCAGAATTATGTGTACCGATATATATGTAACTGATTTGTTCACCTATATTATACAGCAAGTTGTGAAAAGGGACTGAAAACTTATGGGCAGGGGCTATAATCACTTGGCTAACTTTGACAGTCCTCGAAATCGTAATAGAACTAAAAAAAGGAAAATCGGAATAAAATTATGGCCTAACCCTAACCTGGTACACTAACACATACTACGGGAGCACCGAAAATTCAACATTGTAAATGATATGAATTATTTACCCACCTGCACACACACTGCTCAATGATTTAACATAGCCATTTACGCATTCACAATCACTGCCACATTCTTGACCAAAGTTACATTGTCCTGCACATGGATCTAAAAATGGTACCGTAAATAAGTGTAACTATGAATGTAAAATGTTTAAGTTGATGGGGGTATGGCATATTTCTATGAGACGTTTTCTCACCTTCACACCCAAAAAATATCTCTTTGTCGCTGCCCTTAACCTCGATTAAAAAACTTTTTATTTAATGAATATTTGAACTATAGGCTAGTATGTTTTTTTAATTTTCTGGGTTGAATTTCTGGGAATATAAAATTCACCAATGGAATTTCCTGGACACCTACAATATAAATGCTAAAGAACAACATAGCATAATAAACATGAAAATCAAAATCAGAAATGATGCATACCAATAAGTCTTTATAATTATGTAAGTATGTCAGTTGTAGGCCTACATTCAAATTTTTCTATGCTGAAACATACCAACAGTAGGTGTGGGTGTAGGAGTGGTTGTTGTAATGTCATCTGAAAAGATAAATTTTATATTTATATCAACTAAGAAAATCAAAAATATACGGCAACAAAAGTAGTATTGGCAAGGTAAAAATATTCTGCTCGATGGTCATAAACAAAAACCGACCAGAAAAAATATATACAAAGCTCACAAATAAACTTGCTATTTTGTGGAAAAATATTATGTTATTCCTATTTAAGATACAAAAGTTATTGAAATTCACAAACCTGAGGTAGCTGATAAAAATACTGTAATATAGATTAATCAAAAATGATGTATGGTATACAAATTATTGAAGTACATCATTTGTAAATATTATCGTATTTCTCCGTGTATAAATACACATCTAGGTTTTAGTACATTTTTAATGAGAATTTTTCAAACTCAATGCATAATACGCATATCGAAATTCCGTCCTCTCTTGCCTTGTAGGTGTTTTCTCTGGACGTTTCAGGCATTCTGTCTGCTTGCCTTTTGTTAACTATATATATCTGGTAATATGTTTTATGTATTTGCCTGTGAAACATCTGCCAATCGTGATGTGATGTTATTTGACATTAAAGTTTCTTGTAAACTTATTTGTCCCTTCCCCTTTAAAAGCTGACAAGGCTGGATATCAGACACCGCACTTCAAAGAGAAGCCAGAAAGCCGTAGGTCACTCATATGGTGATTTATTAGGGTAAAGTTTTGCTGATTCGGCGAAACGGAGAGAAACAGACCAGACAATGACAGCAGTTAAGGATGTACAGCCTGTTTTTATCACATCATTTTTTCTGGGCCTTCATCAACACTAAATTGTTGTTGAACTGGGTATGCTTCTACCGAATCAAGCATGATCTGATTCAAACAGACTTTGCCCCATAAAATTAAGAACTTAAGATTAATAAAGGTGACAATTATTAGCCAGTTAAAGCATAAAAAGAGAATTAATATTTTTTGATATTTTGTAAACCAATGTATAATACGCACCCCCATATTTGTGAGACTAAATTTGACAACGAAAGTGTGTATTATACGTGGAGAAATGTGGTAATTATCTGAAACTTACCAACAGTGGATGTAGTTGCGGGTGTTGTAGCCCCATCTAAATCGATAAAGTTTTACACATATAACAATGATGAAATTGGTGCTGAGATCAGAAGACGTTTTGAAACCACAGACTTTCAGACTCTTGGTGGAACAGTAGACGGCAAATGATTGCAAAAGTGGCATCGGCAATGGAATTATATTCTGTTTATTAATGGTCATAAACAATAGTCCCAGAGAGCTCACGAAAAATATGAAATAGTCTTTCGGAAAACACACAAAATAAAGCATATTAAAATTATAAGAGATATTCTAATTAATTATTGAATTAATTATGTTGAAAGATTAATTATTATTATCAAGTAATTGACATACCAGTGTCATTGGAAGTTACTGAAAAAAAAAAATAATTATTTCAAAAGCATATAAAAGACAATTGAATTAATAAATAGATATTCTGAATACCTATTCATATCAAGTAGGCTAATTGACATACCTGATACGTTGGAAGATGCTGAGAACAAAAAATAAGTTACTATAGTTAAACACTATAGTTATTAAATTTAATGAATGTGGGGTAACTAATAAATAATACTGTAAGGTATATTATTCGGAAATAATGCATGACGATACAAAGTATTTAAGAAAATCAATTGCACATTCAACTTTTTATATGCTGAAACTTACCAACAGTTGTTGTGGGTGCAGAAGTGGGAACAGTTGTGGATGTAATAATTGTAGAATTCAAAACTCCGCCGGAGAAAATAAATATTACATTTATAGCAACTAAGTGTTGAACTGACTAATATCATATAATACCTTATATTATACGATCAGCATAGATATACATTAGCTTGCACAACACCTGCGCTGCAATCCTCAGAAGCAAGCATAAGCAGAACCCGATACAACTTGTGTAAGAAAATCAATTGTATATTTAACTTTTTATATGCTGAAACTTACCAACAGTTGTTGTGGTTGAAGAAGTGGGAACAGTTGCGGTTGTAATAATTGTAGAATCCAAAACTCCGCCTGAGAAAATAAATATTACATTTATAGCAACTAAGTGTTGAACTGACTAATATCATATAATACCTTATATTATACGATCAGCATAAGAATGTCAATTGCATATTCAACTTTTTATATGCTGAAACTTACCAACAGTTGTTGTGGTTGAAGAAGTGGGAACAGTTGCGGTTGTAATAATTGTAGAATCCAAAACTCCGCCTGAGAAAATAAATATTACATTTATAGCAACTAAGTGTTGAACTGACTAATATCATATAATACCTTATATTATACGATCAGCATAAGAATGTCAATTGCATATTCAACTTTTTATATGCTGAAACTTACCAACAGTTGTTGTGGTTGAAGAAGTGGGAACAGTTGCGGTTGTAATAATTGTAGAATCCAAAACTCCGCCTGAGAAAATAAATATTACATTTATAGCAACTAAGTGTTGAACTGACTAATATCATATAATACCTTATATTATACGATCAGCATAAGAATGTCAATTGCATATTCAACTTTTTATATGCTGAAACTTACCAACAGTTGTTGTGGTTGAAGAAGTGGGAACAGTTGCGGTTGTAATAATTGTAGAATTCAAAACTCCGCCTGAGAAAATAAATATTACATTTATAGCAACTAAGTGTTGAACTGACTAATATCATATAATACCTTGTATTATACGATCAGCATAAGAATGTCAATTGCATATTCAACTTTTTATATGCTGAAACTTACCAACAGTTGTTGTGGTTGAAGAAGTGGGAACAGTTGCGGTTGTAATAATTGTAGAATTCAAAACTCCGCCTGAGAAAATAAATATTACATTTATAGCAACTAAGTGTTGAACTGACTAATATCATATAATACCTTGTATTATACGATCAGCATAAGAATGTCAATTGCATATTCAACTTTTTATATGCTGAAACTTACCAACAGTTGTTGTGGTTGAAGAAGTGGGAACAGTTGCGGTTGTAATAATTGTAGAATTCAAAACTCCGCCTGAGAAAATAAATATTACATTTATAGCAACTAAGTGTTGAACTGACTAATATCATATAATACCTTATATTATACGATGAGAATAGATAATATATAGCTTGCACAACACCTGTGCTGCAATCCACAGAAGCAAGCATAAGCAGAACCCAATACAAATTGTGTAAGAATGTCAATTGCATATTTAACTTTTTATATGCTGAAACTTACCAACAGTTGTTGTGGTTGAAGAAGTGGGAACAGTTGTGAATGTAATACTTGTAGAATTCGTGACCACGCCTGAGAAAATAAATATTACATTTATAGCAACTAGGTGTTGAACTAACTAATATCATATAATACAACCTTATATTATACGATCGTCGATCAGCATAGATATACATTAGCTTGCACAGCACCTGTGCTGCAATCCTCAGAAGCAAGCACAAGCAGAACCCAAATGAATTAAGCGTGAAACGATAACAATGAACTGAAGTGAACATGCAATGTTGCCAGAAATTGGCAAAATGAAATACCGGTAGTTCAAATAATACAATATCAAGACTAAGAAATTCTCAACTATAGGCCCTATAGCAGGGGTGGGCAAGTTTTTTGGAACAGGGCCAAAAATTTCGATCACCTAGACTGGTGGGCCATTTAATAAGTGTGACGTGGAAAGTTACATTTTAGGGAACAATATTTACAGTGTTAGTGTTAGAAAAGCAACAAGGAAACAAAACAATGAGCCTCCTGCCAAATTTAGGTTTGATTGCAGTCTCAACAAATTCCTCAATATATTTTTTAGCTGGAACATCAAAAATTGGTTTTAGTTTGGTTGTGGCAGGATCAGGCGGGCCAGTTTGAATTACCCAACAGGCCGGATTTTGCCCGCGGGCTATAGTTTGCCCATGTCAGCCATATAGCTACAAATATGGTACCGGCACTGTAAACATATTCTGCTCGATGTTCATTAGTGACTGTCTTAGAGAACCCAAAAGAAATATAAAATAGCTTTTTGGGAAACATTCTATCTTCAACTTGAAATATTTATTGAATACGTTTCGAACACAGTCTGAATACTAATTGATATCAAGTAATTGACATACCAGTTTCACTGGAAAAAATGATTTAAAAATCAACAGAATAATTGAACAGATATTCTGAATAAGTATCTATATCGAGTAATTGACATACCAGTCACGTTGGAAGATGCTGAAAACCAAAAACAGGTATTTAAAAAAACCTATTAAAAGTTGACTTTAAATGTTGTTACATATCATATACCAGTGATTTTCAACTAGTGTTACGTGAAAGACCTCCAGATGTTCCATGTCAAAACGTTGCTTTAGTTTTTTTCTTTTATTGGCATATTTCAAGAGATAAAATAATACAAATTTTGACCAAAGATCATGTATTTGGATTCAATTTGAGCGTTGTGAGATAATGGGAATCAACTGTGCGAACTCTGAAAATACTCCCATCATTATGGAGGAGTGAAACTGTTGAAAAATATGTGCTATGTGCTTGCCTCTTGCCAATATCTGGCAGAATAAACGATTTGTTCTAATCGAAGTAAGCGCATGTATTACATAAAATGTCATAGCCATTTCTAGCCAATTACAGCAAGTATAAAATATTTCTCATTGGTATTTCGGCGGTATATTTAGCGTCTGAGTTTCAAACATTTTTATTTATACTTCAGCTTTTTATCATCTTGAAATACAATTTATAGTCTTTTTTCAACTCAAGTTCCTGAGCTATTGGTCTTTTTGCTATTTCCATTCTATGCCAAAACTGAAATAAATATTAGTTCAATATCAATCATTCCTGAAAATCGCCAATGTCATTTTGTGTTTCGGTGTTCAAAACAGGTTGAAAATCACTGTCATAGATGACCAAGGCTGAAAATTGGTATTCTCACCACTGGAGTAAATGTAAAATCGAAACATTACATAGTTATTAATAAGTTTACTGCAATGAAGAACTAATAAATAATACTGTAATATATAGTAATCAGAAATGATGCATGGAAATACAAATCATATAAGAATATCAGTTATATATTTAATTTTTATATGCTAAAACTTACCAACAGCTGTTGTAGATATAGTAGTGGAAGCAGTTGTAGGATTCGTAACTGTGTCAAAATAAATTTTATATTTATAGCAACTAAGAAACTTTCAAATATATGGCTACAAAAGTGGTACAAGGAATGTAAACATATTCTGTTTGACATTCATTAATACAGGCTCTGAGAACCCAAGAAAAATATAAAATCGCCTTTCAAAAACATTTTTATCTTCAACAAGAAATATTTATTATTAAATATGTCTCTAACTTAGTCTGAATAAATATTAATATCAAGAAATTAGCATACTAGTTTCATTTAAAGGTACTGAAAAAAAAAAAAAAAAAAAAGTATATAAAAAAAGTCTATATAATTATTACTAAACAGATATTCTCAATTATCAAGCATACTATACTAGTGACATTAGAAGGTAGATCAATAAACACGTAAAAACAATTCAGTAAATTAAACACATTTGATACATTTCTCTAAAGTTCATCTAAAATATTATTTGCAATTGCATCTTATATTGATACTAGCAGAAGTCAGGCCAAAAGTATACCGGACATTAGAATTATCCTGCGTATCTCTATCATCTAAATTTTTTATTATCGTTCTCAATTCATCGTTATTCAAGCCTTGTTTAGTAGACGCAACACGAGTGTATGAATACTTGGAAATAACAGAACATAAATATATCCTATTTTTGACAAAATATTATGAGAGCTAAATCAGTCTTTCATGTTAACAAGGTTAAAATCAATCCTAAAAATTGAAATTGCAAATAACAGTACAAATCGCAAAAAAGTATATTATTAGTACACCTAATAATATTGGATTATCAGGTATGAAATTCGGTAGATATCATGAACGACCAGAACTGTAAATAGGATCTTTCCACTGGAGCATATATATAATCAAGAAGCTACACTAATCAAATTTAATTTACTGAATTGAAGGTAACTAATAAATATTATATACTCAACAGCCTCGAACACTTCCCTAATAGAAAAATAGCATGGTACTTTATTGGAGATATTACGCAATGACAATATGTGGCAGTCGTTATCTCTATTTCAAGATATACCGGTACTTAATACCAATTCAGCAATTAAATTTTTTTCTTTCTTGTGCACCAGATGCATTAATGACATTACTGATATGGTATAAAAAAAATTCAAACCTGTTGTATTTTGACCTCTGACGAAATGGACCGAAAATACCAAACACAATCCGAACAGCAGATAACGCATCATAATGCTGTGAGTTGTTAGGTCGCAAAAAAGTTTTAGGTCCAGAAAAATAGGTATTACTGTAATTGTTCTTGATATGTAAATATATCCAATTGTTAGTAGCAAACTGCTGTGGCAATAAATAATATAATCCTAATTCAGTTTGAAAGAAGACCCAATATTAGTGTACCTTTTATAAAAAATTACACAAAAACTACAGATTGAAACAGTGACTGATGACAAACTGTTCGTGGGGATAAAATACCACATGCTAACATGGGCACATGGGTGTATGAAACAATTGGCAGATAGGTGTATGAAACACTGAAACAAAATGAAAAAATATACAATTATTGTAGACTAGTCTAAATCAGGGCTACTCAACTGGCGGACAGCGGTCCGAATCCGGACCTTTCGACCGTTCAATTTTGACCGCGTCTGCTTGTTTATTTTGGCAGCATAAGCATCGTTTTATAGTTTTAGATGATTTTGATACAATATAAATACATAGCTATACAGTTTGTCGTACTGGTACCGATGTTCGACATTTGTGTTCAAATTTGTGAGTCATTCTTAAATTTAATATTGCATTTGAAGTTTCGTCTATTTAA